AAATCTGATTACTGGAATGAAGAGCGACAGGCTAGCGGTTTATGTTTACTCGCCAGTTCGTCACAAACCTTCCATGAATAACATAATGAGCATTTAAATAAATCTGTAGCGATTGTACATTTTTCTCTTCATAATTGTACCTTGTTATTCCCATTTCCATTAATTTTTTACAGGTATGTTTTCACATAAACAACCGATAAAACAGTTTTCCGGGTTTCGATTCTCTTTCTGGTCTCGGCTACGCAGGTTGTGCTGTCTACTCTCGGTCTGCTTGCTTCGTTCATTGATCTACTGCGTCGAATTATTCTGCTGGATAAATATCGTCTCCCGACCGGATTGTGCGACTAACTAACGGCCTACTGAGGATCGAGGTTTACCGAAGACCAAGTGCAACATCTTTACTTTATAGACTGGGAGTTCTTTTATGTAGTTGCGACCTATTGTTTGGCCTTGCGACTACACACCTATTTCAATGTAGGAGATTTGTCTACATATATATGTATATATATATGTACAAATAAATAAATATATATATATAAGACTGCGTTTTAAACCTCCTAACAGAGTCACTTCTTGACACCCTGTTTACGGCAAGTTGCTCCGTTTGCAAAATATCCCCTATTTCTCTAATTTCATAGGCGAATAGGTGAAAAAAGTAGTATCCATATTTTACTCCATTAGTTGCATTGTGAACCATAGTAACTTGGTAACATGTAGCATTATGTACCGCAACAGCCCCTTCCACAAAATAAGCTTCCTCCTTTTCCCTTTTGGGCATCAAGGACATCACACAAAAGCCTCAATTGCATGTACACTACCATTTCGCATGTCTGCGAAATCGAATCATACGATGATACATTATTAAACACAATTTTTGAAGGTTTATTATCTTTAGAGCGATGACAAAGTACGCAGCCTTCTCGGTCTTGCTCCTTATTACCGGCTTTTTGTCCGCAACTTCGCGACCATTGCCTCTTGCTACATGATCATGTAGAGACGGATAAATTTTCATTTGGCAAACAGCTCAGCACAGAAGCTTTTGTGACACTTCGGACCACCTTGTGCGAAGAACCGGTGCTTATTTGCCCCGATAAGTTGCCGTTTTCCTGCACTTTCATCATAGAAACGGACGCTAGCGACACAGGTATCGGAGCCGTGCTGTCACAGCGCAATCCAGACTGGACCGAAACAGTCGTTGCGTATGAAAGCAGAAGACCATCAAAAAAGGAGCGTATCAACTACATCATTCGTAAAGAGATGCTTGCCGTGGTGAGTTTTCTCAAACAATTCCGCCACCAGCTGCTGGGCCGTAGGTTCATCGTACGCACCGATTACCAGTCCTTGATCTGGCTTCAGAACATTTGTGATCCGAAAGGACAAATTGCCAGTTGACAGGCACAGTTACAAGAGTATAAAGCATGCAAAATTTGACGCGTTATCTCGGATACCTACTAGGGACCATGGACCATGTCCATCCTGAACGAGCGCATGAGTGCTTGTAATTATCCTTGACGCCTCTGAAAGCCAGGAGTGGACTAACTTACCCAGAAGTAAGCCTACTGTACGACCGCATCGCACAAAACAAAGACAGACTGACACATCAAGAACTGGCTGCTACCAGCTGGGAGACGAAATGCTTTTAGTCGCTTTGGCCACATTTACGCGTGACTGATGGAATCAAATATTTCCAAAATCGTCCAACCTACTTACGGAGAATTGTGGTCCCAACAGCCGTAAATCAGGAAGTGATGTAAAGAATACATGAAGAGTTAGGACATGCGGGACAAAACAAGATGGACGAGGCTATGCGCCATCGTTTTTAATGGCCACACTTTCGGCGCGACATCTCACATTAGTGACATTCTTGTGCCGATTGTGCACGAAGCAAAATCTTTAGACCAATTCGTCGTAGGCTGCTGCAAAGAATGATGACTGGGTTCACGAAGGAGCTAGTTAGCATCGATATTGTGGGGCAGCAACTAAAAACTGCAAGAGGACTTGGTTTTATCTATGTAATTGTAGACTGTTTTACCAAGTGGTATGAAGCGGTTAAACTACACAACATAGACGCATGGAGTGTGGTCAAAGGGTTCTCCGATGATTGGGTGGAACGATGGGCAGCACCATTCCAGTTGCAACCTTATGGCGGATCAAACTTTGTGAGCACACTCATGAGTGAGTTTTGTCACATTTTTGGCATCCAGAAGACCCGGACCACTGCTTACCATCCCTAAGGAAATGTATTTCTTGAGCGCACGAACTCTACGGTCAAAGCATTGCTACAAGCTTTCGCTAATAGTGAGACACCGAGAAAGTGGGATACGTCACTGTCGAAGTGTTTGCTGGCCTACCAAGCAGCTGTCCATTCATAGACGGGCAAGACGCCGCATCTCGTGATGACGGGACGAGAGCTGCGACTACCCTCGGACACACTGTTGCCGACATCCAACCACGAGCCTTTTGTGTCATCTGACAACATACTCCAGGTGAAGTCAAGCCTGCTGCGCGCGTATCAGTTCGCGCAAACACATCTGCAGGGTTCACAGCGCTAGCGGAGAACTAACTTCGACCGCAAGGCTTTCTGAAGCCCATACCAACCGGATGACGAATTTTGGCTTAAGGCGGTCTTAACACCGACGGGTTTCCGAGCGAAATTCCATCGCAATTTGCTGGGACCATTCATCTTGGAAGATCTACGGTTGAACTTGATTTATCGTACCATGAAACCTGGAGCACCGGGATCCTCCAAGGTTGTTCAGTTCATCCGGCTAAAGCCGGCAGGCTGAACTGTGTGTGCTGAGAACGGTGCCAATTAACATAGGGGATATTGTAGCATATTCATTTGCGCTTGTGTTGCGCGCCAGACAAATATGTCGTTTCTTTCCTTTGCAGCATGCTCCGCTGCAGTAGAATATATGGAGGAAGCAGCCCAAAGAAGTAACGGAGAAAATCCACCGGACATATAACCTTGCTTGTATTATGCTTCCTACCCGCGGTTGACGTGACCTGGCACACACGCCTGCCTGCTCCTCGCTTGTGCCTCGCTGTACTCTTTGAGCTGCCCTCGGGTGTTGAAATACGGTTCTGCCCACTTCTCTTGTCGTTCTAATTAGATGGTTGTGATAACGTTATCCAGCCATCTACGTGGTCCTTCATTTCCTTTTCCAGCTCCGCAGCTTTATTGCGACTTTTTGCATACCGAAGAGTTCGGACGCTCGGGCTTCGTGCAGATTACAACAACGTATCAGCACAGCAGTAAAATACATACTTAACACCGACCGTTTCTCTTCTTTTGGCATTGACTGTGTGACGAAAAATGGCGGATAGCTGACCACACAGTGTAAGCTTTACTCTCACACAAACCAAAAGCACCTGTTGCTTTAATTCACTGAAAGGATCAAACTGCTAATATTACCACATACCTATCACCTTTTATGCCGGGTCTTTATGTAAAAGTGCTATATACGCTTGCGTAACCACCAGTCTGTCGGGAATATATCCGTATAATCTCGAACTATAACTTGTCTGGTCGAATAGGGCGGTCTTACAAAGTTCAGCGAAATGCTGGTAAAAATTGGACATTGCAACCCGCTGATTCCTTTCACCAAACACAATGCATGTAACAATCTGTGCATAAGGTATGTACAAGCGACTGCAGCTCATTTCTATATAACCCATTGTGCAACAGTATGCTGTACTCAATTAACCAAACCTTAAAGGTAAAATGTTCAGTTACGTCAATTGAGCGGTTTGCAAACCTGTGTACTTACATTAATGTGCAAAGATGAAAAGCACCAATTACGAGACTCCTCTGTCCAAAACTTGAAATCATACACATCATTTAACAGGGTATATGAACGCTGTCGGAAATGACTAAATACTACTAAATCCCTTAGTTAATTCTACTGCATTTCCTATGTACTACTGGACGACGTAACACCTCATTGGTGAATATCGGCGCATAGATAGAGGAACTAGCCGCAAGTCTAGACATGTTTCAATTTGATTAGCTGACTCATCCCTGCGCTACAATAGTTTATGGGAGATAACGTGCTAATACTGTGTAACGTTTGTGGTGGGGAGAACGGTACGATATTAAATTTTGTGTGAAACAAAAGAAGCCGGCAAAAAGTCATTCGAAAATTTAACGAAAGCTTATAAATATGCCACACCCTCGTAGAAATTATTGATGACTCTTTCTGGAAAGCCAGTCTTGTCAACAAACCATCAATATGTGAACGTTTGGTGATCTGCGCTGGCGAAAATAATGCGTACTTTTTTCGACAGCCATGGAATTGCGTAAAACGAATTTTTACCACCAGGACAGAGTGTTAATGAGATCTTCTACACAAATGTCTTGAAACGACTTCGACATCGGGTCTAGCGAGTCCGAAACGACATTGCAGATGATTGCGTGTTACATCACGATTACGCTTCTACTCATTTTGCAGTTACTTTTTAAGCGTTTTTGGCGAAAAGCTTCCCCACACTACCATAAGCATTCTACAGTTCTGACCGAGCTCCCTGCGATTTTTATCTCTTCCCTATTTGGCACTCTAAATTGTTAGGTCATTGTCATGGAACCGTGAAAAACATCAAAAATATGGTATTGAATGTACGGAAATGAATGTTACGGATAATGACTTTCATCACTTATACGAGCAGAGCAAAACACGTTGGAACCACCGTATATCTTCCCAAGGCTTATACGTAGGAGAATATAACACATACTTGCGGAGTGAGTCTTTTATATATTTCAAACCATCAATAAACTTACTTTTTGGACACAGGGGTAATATCAAGCAACTAGGCCAGCAAGTTTAATTGTGCAGTTTATCCTAACGGCTGAACGATGAAACTCAGTAACGTACTACGTGTGTCAAAAAATGTGTAATATACTTCGGTCTATAGTAAATGAAAAGACGTTAAGTTGCTGATCAAATGTCACGCCGGCAGACATCGTCTGAGTTAAAACAATGCTGGGAAAAACAGTAGCTAACCTTCCTCATCAGTATTCGTATCTTCTCGAGGCCACAGTTGCGCAAAACCATCCACAGTTTCAACGCACGGTTCTTCCTGCCCAAATTGACACTCCAGTTCTGCAATTTACACGTGAGAATATTTAAAGGAAAACAATTCAGTCTAATTTTCTACAAAACTAACAGAAAGCAGCATGGTCGCCATAGTATCATGCCGCTAACATGGGAAGTAATTTCTTTCTGCTGGATATATTTTGTTACGTAAGACACGTACTCCGAATTTTCTGCGACGGTACTGCAGTGTAATCGATATGTCTGAATGGAAATTCACCCTAGTAAGTCTCTTGCAGTCAAAATATACGCAAGTCTTATAATTAACTCCGTACGAAATGTTGACGCAAATTATAAATACTTCATTATCTTTGACCACATACTCCTTGCAAGTTGTTAGTTTGCTACCTATGGACACGTATTAAGAGCAATATTTACACAGCTCCGACGGTTGCGTCATTTGTGGTGATTCTGGTCTAAAGCTTATAACTAAAATAACTGGATTGGATGCGAAACGGTTGGTCAAAATGAGACGTACATTGATGCCCACAGTTTAGCTGGACGAGGTGGTTAGTACTCATTGTATGGCTCCTGTTTGTAAATGAAAATCCGTTTACTCAGCGAACTATTAAAGTGGCACGGTGAATCAGTCAAAAACAGTCATTCAAAAACAAATTTTGGATAATTTGTTGATCATGCGACAGGAAGCATTGGATTGGTGGAATAAGTTATTACCGACCGCATTACCGAAGTTCAGAGTCTAATAATGTATTAGAAGAATAACCATTAGACATTCATTTAGTGTGAACGAGTTTGATAGCTATGCTTTACTCTTCCTATTTTCTATTTCTTGACTGTTGTTTAAACGCTCTACTGGGTTAGTCCGATTGGTACATCCACGTCATAGTTAATGGACGGTCATCGTCATGTCCTTCTCAGCAGCGCCATTTGCAAGAACATATTCTATTAGTTTTTCCTTCTCATCACTGTTCTACTTGGTCATGTCAAAGGAATATGTAGTTGCCACACAATTATTGCACTAGTTTTCAACTTTTGGGTCTGCATTCCTTATTCTCGTTTGGTTCATGACTTCTGTTTAAATGTTTCATTTCGTCATTCTGATAGGCCATTGCCCGTCACTGTAAATGGACGATCGCTTTACGCTTGGAGTCCAATGATGCTATTTATAAGGACATACGCGATTTGCTCTTGAGTACATGGTTGCTTATTCGCCGTTGCATTTGAAGTTTTTCTTTCAGTTGGTTGGCTCAAGTGTACTTTATTAGCTTCCCTTGGTTTTGCCTTCAAACTATATAAGTAACTGTGATTTCATGTATACAAGTCTCCTTCTGGCTCGTCTTTGGACTTCTTCTTGCGGTGGTGGGGTGAAGGCGTCAGCGGCGACACAACATAAAGTTCGTAGACGCTGATAACAGAGCCTGCGTACATTTAACGGATAGAGCTGAGCCCTCTGGTAAGAATGATTTCTCAAGTTCGCTTACGGCCAACTGACCCCTTGAGACTGCATCTGTTCTGCGATTCTCGGTATTGCGTAGTCCCGCTCTTCAACTTCCGATAGCTCATTAAGTTTACACTCAATGGGATCATTTGAGCCACATTGCAAGGACCTATTTCTTACGGATAGCGATGCTGTCAATGCAACCTGCTTTTACAGCACGTACAACCTTTTCTTTTTTGGTCACTTAGTCAACTCTGTTGCCATTTGATAGAACATTCACTGCCTAGTCCGATAAACTAGGAATATACGACTCAGATTTACTGCTGTTTCTATCACCTAACTTTGATGGTAACCGGTCAGTGGTCTGGAAAGCCGAGCAGCACCAGCACCACAAATCGTGTAGGTTTACCTAGGCGAGGGAACGAAGTAGAATCGGGGTGCAGGGGGTGAGTCAGCCACGGTCTTTGTCCTAGTCAAAGCCAGACGGGTTGATCACAGGTGACACATGTTTGGAGCTCAGTGCCCATCGCATGATGACAGCTGATAGGCCAAGCGGGAGAAACAGACAGATGAAAAACCAAGCGGATTAAGCACCGAATAAACGAACGAAGATGAATTTCAGGTAAAAACAAAGGGTATCTATATTCTGCCTAAGCAGGGGGAGAGAACAAAGATGGATGCCAGCCAATGAACTCAGACAAGTGGCCAAAAAGAAACGACCTGGGTGATCCTGTGGTGTAAACAAAGCGCATCTTTATTTCGGCTAAGCTAGATTTATCACTACAAAATGTTAAATTTTTCGGACAACATTAACGGTTGGTCTCCGAACAATTTATTAGACGACCACCATATATTTCATTGCGATCTAAAGGGTCCTCGTGTAGGTTGGGAGGGACACACTGCCATTCAATCTTAACAAGTGCCGCATTGTCCATTTCCTGCTTTGGCAAACATACGCCTAAAGCCCTGCTATCTAATGACCGTCCGTCAGGAACGTGACTTCGGTTTACTGGTACCTAACAACATGGGTTTTTGCAGCCAAATCTGGTCCGCTTCACAAAGAGGTAACCAGTGTGTTGGTATCCTGACCTGGGCGCTCGGGTATTGGAATTCAGCCAACTTCTCTGACGCTCGTGGTCTGCATAAGTCTTCATTTCGTAAAAGCTACCCAGGCCAAGCGAATTGGCTAAGGAGTGCCCTCAGCGTGCTGAAGACCTGCAACATCAACAACGAAAAATGCCAAACTTTTGAGATTTATTCCCTGCGATGAACGAATAAAGACACTTGGAATGTTCACTAACGGCTATGGTGACTACGGAGCAATTGCATATTAGTATATTAAATACTGAACTGCCCTAGTTACATATGCATCTAGCGTTTGAAGCTCTGCCCGACAACATACCTGAGAGCAGTAGTTTAAATCTTGGTCAAGAATACACACGTTTAGATTGCCGACGAAGTTACTTCTCCGTACGGGTCTATTCACTATGGATCGATTTTCCGAAAGAAGTTATTTTTGATGCCCATTGCTGCGTTTTTAATAAACGCCTAGATATCGCAGTGAGAACAAGAACGGATAATCCGGGATATATCTAGGTTAATTAGCTTCAATAAACCAATATCCCTAACTACACAAGGAAAACGCTTAAGCAAAATCGTTCTCCTTTGCAATAAGCACTAACCATAAAACTCTTTACTCCGTTCGCATGTCATAATCCCACTCGCAAAACCCTGATTCATTTTAATATTAATATATCACATCAACGATGTGAATAATATTTGGTTCATTCGAATAATACAAATAGGACACTCCTAGCTAGCGTACCGCAAAAACACATATATCTTTGTTCCGATGATCAGTAAGCTATGGATTCAAAATATGTAAAACCAGGCACGACTGAAACAAAAACGAAGCATGTTGGTCGATAGCAACGCAACTTGCAAAATAGCTGTCTCATAAAATGTTGGAAAATATTACTGTTTGCTGTCTTTCAGTGAGAGCAGCAAAAAGACAACAAGGGGTATCGAAATGTACAGTAACACGCAGCGAGCAAAATGCCTATATAGAGTCTGACATAAGAAGGTCCATAAGCGTGTTCATTTATCTACCGTGGCTCGCTTATGGTGAACGCCGGTCATTTACGGTTGTTGTCCCCAACATCCGATAGCCATCCAATGTCTAGCGAACTTCGCAAAATGCGACTGCGCATGCAGCGACATGAATTATTCTCTCACCTTAGTGATGAGGAGGTATGGAATTCTCGGCAGACGAGTGATTTAGTGCAGCGCTCAGCTGAGTGCAAGCGTAACCTCGTAAAGACGCACCGACATGAAGCTGTTTTGATTATTAAGTGAGGTGAGTACAGACCGCCACAACATGTTTCCAGCGTCCGTTAGCTGTCAGCTAACTTTGCGCTGAGTGCCAAAGAACATGGCCCACCATAGGCGTGGGAGCGAGCGATGGTTTTCTGTGGGTGTCTCGCTGGCTACACAGCGAAGTCGGCGTAGGCAACCAAACCTGCGGCGTGAATGTGCGCACGTGATGGCAGCTCAGCTGCGGACGAGCTTAGGCCTTACAACCCTTGTCAATGTTCTTGACGCACAGGTAATGGAGCACGAGCAGACAAGGTAGTCGAGATCACATAACGTGCCTGTTGCTCAGCGCGCGCTGATTATTCCACTGAACGGTGAATGAAGTTCAAAAGCCGCATCAGCTTCAAGAAAATACAATGCAATGAAGGCAGGAAGATGTCCCATCACCGCCCGGTGCGTGTTTAAACTAGTGAAGAAGTTCGAGCAAACTCGGTGGGTGTGACATGAGGAGAACTTGACCGCCTATTATCGCCACGGACGAATGTTCAGCTTGCGCTGTAGTCAGTGAAGTGTCAACAATTCTCGGTCACAGCATTCGTCGGATCGCCTAGCACTGTGACACGACCGGTTATGCGGTAAACCTGGTATTACTGGAACGAACATATTGGTGATTCCGTGCACTTCAAGTGCAGGTTTTGAGCCCATGCGATCCGGAGAAGCAGCATGAATTTTGCCGCTTGTTTCTGGATCACGGGGATATTCCTTCTGTTATCTTTAAAGATGAGGCATTGTTTCATCTGCATGGAATAATGAAAAATTACTCTTGGGATACCAACAACCCACGAAAATGTACCGCATCACGTATGCACCACAGTGTAAAACTGATGCTTTGGGCTTGATTAACAAGCCAGAATATCTTGGGACCATGTTTCTTTTCCGCGAAGGGGACCGGTAGGTTGTTGTTTTGAAGTACTAAAGTCTTAGCTTTTCCTAGCATCGTGGTACTTGGAAATGATTCAGGCATATGTGTTTCCCCAGTTGGAGGCTGAAGGGGCATGCAGTACCATTTGGTGGCAGCAGAATGGTGCACCTGCACATTCTACTAAAATGGTGCGTGCTTACCTCAGCGACAAATTTGGTCACCATTGGTTCGGACGCGGTGGACCAATGGAGTGGCCTGCTCACGCACCAGTTTTACATCCAATGGGCTTTCGTCCATGGGGCTATCTGAAGCGGCGAGTGTACAAAATAAAGTCACGTACATTGGACCAATCGAAAGAAATTATTGTAAGCGAAT